GATGGGGCATTGATTTGTCAGACGAAGACGCGGTGCTGAGTGCGGCTTTGGAGAATTACAAGCCCATCAGCGAGCTCAAGGAGAACTAGGGGATCATTATAGCCAGATGGGTTGAGCTTCTGGCATGGAGGCATCTGGAGAGGCTTGAGCCGCCTGAGGGTGGTGCTGCCGAACGCCAGGACTGTCGATGCTAAGGTAGGCCTGAATGACCGCGATATCAGTTCGCAGTTCGCTCTCACCAATTGCACAATGATGTAGGCTGTAGACATGTCCATGGCTTGTCGTGAATTGCCCTGATCGATATGCCCAGATGCACTGGTAGCACTGGTAAGTATGCAAACATGACTATGTTCATTTTCTCTGGGTCAATTCCACAAATTCTCTACATTATGATACTATGTGACTGTTCAATGCGTCTCTTCCATTATGTGTGCAATCCGAGGTGAACGTGGAAACTTTTCAAGCGCGCTAGTCCACACTGTATATTTCTCTCCCACTTTTCAGTCAACACCAACCCCCCACACTCCACAAACCCTCACCACCACCACCACCACCACCACCACAACAACAACAACAACAACAACAACAACAACAACAGCAACAGCAACAGCAACAACAACAGCAACAGCAACAGCAACAACAACAGCAACAGCAAAATGGCCTTCGTCCCCGGCCAAGTCATCCCCATCAAGATGGAAGTCTGCAAGATGAAGGCGCGGGCGCAAGAAACGGTCTTCAAGGCCCTGTTCCGGTGCTGGCTCGAACTTCACCGCCGTCTTTTTCTTCTGAAGCAATGCCAACGATACGCATTCTTCGCCAACAACTCGCTGCAGCTCAACGCGCTGGTGCTCCACGACCTGCGCTGCAAGCCGCTTCGAGAGTGCCTGCAAGAGGTGCTTGGGCTGCAGCGGGGGATGGCCAAGTTTGCCAAGAAGATGAAGGCGGCGGTGAAGGAAGAGAAGCGCCAGGACGACGAGTTCTGGAGGCTCAAGGCGTAAGTTTTTTCTTTCTACTCTGTTCTGGTTGTGAGTGGGTTTGCTGACGGTGGATTTTGTAGCTCTTTGGAGGCGAATTGAGGACGTGCCTTCGGGCTTCACTGCCTGCCTCTGGAATTCGTTCCACAGGCGGGTTCCTCTCCCTCCCTCCCTCCTCCCTCCTCCCCTCCACCATGGCCCGCCAACTCCCCGCCGCCACGCCTCTACGACGACTCTTCTCCCCCCCCCGCGCCGCCGCCGCTGCCGCCACACCACCAGGGGGTTTTTGGGGGGTTTGTGGGATTCGGATACAAATTGCTGCTGGTGTTTTGGAGTTTTGTTTTTACTTTTTTCTCGCTCTGTACAATACAATACGATACCCCAATGAGAAAGCATTAGACAAAACCTCTACCATCCATCCCCCCTCCAGGATACTTTCCATGCACTATCCTAACATACAGTATCGCCTTCGCACCTTTTTACCCCGGCTACATATACTTATATCTCCATTGACCGTGTCCGGTCGTGGTGTCTACGTATGTCCGGCAACGTTGTGTAATAACTAAGTGTTTGGTATTGCGTGCAGGAAGAAATGAAGGATTGAACTGAGGTTGTATTGTGTATGTATGTATGTATGTATTGTTTATCGTCCTATAGAAAGCCTCCCAGGGGGCATGAAAGACGGGTAGCGCCCTGACTAGTGCTCAGGTGCTCCTATTCTTTGGGTGTTGGCAGTGTGTGCAGTCTCGTAGGGTAATTTCCGCCAGTTGAAAAGACTCTATCTAGGTTCTAGGCTGTAGGGCCGGGGATGTGTTGAGCAATGAAGCAGAGCTCAGGTTGTATTGTGTGAAGCTACGAACAGTATATATAGGTGAGTGACCGTAAACAGTGCTAGCCCTAGATAGGCATAGCTCGCTAAGGTGAGTAGTCGCGAGGAGGTGAAGAGCAGGAGCAGTAGAGACCCCAAACCGTGACACTAAGTGTAGGTTGTGCCGCCTAGCCCAAGGACGTTAGTTTTTTTCGGCGTGCGCGTGTCTCTGTATTAGTATCCATGTCCATGTAGGGTGTGGCCTGTTTCTCGTGGCTTGAGGTCTTGAATGTGTGTAGGCTTCATAGCATAGGATTAGGAGAAAGAGATGAGTGAGATGGGATCAAGTGTAGTTGGTGTGGAGATTGTACGTTAGTGATGAGAAGAGAGCAGCGTTTTCAATTTTGGGCGGGTGTGTGTGTGGGGTGGGGGGGGGGGGGGGGAGAACAGCGATGAAGGGGGGATTATGGTGTTGGGGTTGGGGTAGATAGTACGTGTCTATCGCGACATAAAGACGGTAAGATACTGAGGCCCTCCGCTCACACGGTTCGTCATTGATCAAACTTCTACACGCGCCATCACATCACGATTCCAATACGAACAAAGAGCGTCATTGATCAGCGCAGCATCGCTGCCAAAAAAGGGTGAGTAATGTATTCCAACATGACCACCAAGCTACCAAAAAACGGCGGTGGTGTACTATACACAAGAAATGGAACTCTCCATATCCATCGAGAAAAATCAACAACCTCCAAGAAGAATGAAAAAAAACATCAATCATAACGCTTAGAAGAAAGCGCGGGCGTGGCGACGAGCCTTGCTAGCCGACCCACTAGCCTTGCCCTCGAGCCAGGTGATAAAAGTGTCGATGGTGAACTCCTCGGGGAGACCTGAGCCCGTGTCAGGTGTGGCGGAAGCGACGGGCTTGGAGACGGGAGGGCTGCTGGCGACCGGGGCGGCGGTAGCAGATGTGGCGGGCGCAGCGGAGGCAGAGGGAGCTGCGGAGGTGGTGGGGGTAGAAGGCGTGGACGGGGCGGAACCGGAGCCAGCGCCAGACCAGAGGGCGGGGCCGGGGACGGGGTAGTCGATGGTGGGGGTGTAGGGGTTGAAGAGGATACCAGCGTCGTCCGACTTGTACAGTTCGGTGCCGACTACGCCGTCGGAGGGTGTCTCGGTTCCGCTGCCGGTGACTTCGATGTTGAGGCCTGGGAATCCCGTCAGTAACTCATGTCATGCAGAGATAGGAATGGTATTAAACTTACACTGAGGGTAGTTCTGCGCACCGTTCTCATCGCCAGCGGCATGAAGCGCGATGATTTCGTGGCGGAAGACATACTTGCCGGCGGCAAGAGACTCAGGAACAGTCACGGGCCAAGTGTTGTTCTGTCCGATCATCTTGACAGCAGCCCACTCGCCGTTCTCGTAGCCCGCGCCCTCAATCTTGGTCCACTTGAGCTCCTCCTTGTTGACGTCCGCAATATCGCCCGTGTATGGCGCAACGTAAGTGATGACGGGACCCACGTGGCTCTCCGGCCAGTCAGTCCACGAGAACTCGACAACGCCACCGGCAGCGACCGAGGCCATGGTGTCGGAGGAGCCTTCGGGGCTCGCATTCTTGTGGCAGATGATGTCGGGGCTACCGTAGGCAGAAGGCTCAACGAAGCCGTTGTCGAGGTTCTCTGCGTACCAGCCAATGTGCTCGGGGATGTCGCCGCCGTACTGCTTCGCGTAGTAGTAGTCGAGAACGAAGCCTTGCTCCCAGGCGCCGTCGATGCTGACGCCGGTTACGATGCCATGGGCGGTGACGGTGGCGGCCAGAGCAGCGACGGCACTGAGTGATGTGATGGTCTTGTACATTTTGAGAGATGTAGCAGGTCTTCGGGAAGAGAGGATGCTGGTTGTTGAAGGTGTTCGATGGAAACGAAGGTCGATAGTTGTTGGAAAAGAGTGTCTGCCTGCTCCACACAGTGAAGGGACTTGTTGAAAGAATGTGGGTGGAAAAAAAGAAGGGACTGGTATAGAAACCGAAGATTGGAGCTGTAGCGGTGATACATCGAGAGCGGTACCTGGCGTGCTATTTATTCAGGCTGTGGACATGGGTTACTCGGCGCCGCAGCTACTCGTAAAATGAAAGCACAGGTCGGTGGCTTCATGCCGGGCGCAAAACCAAGCTCGTACCTGGGTTGTTTGAATCGCATTGTTTCCTCTTGCAGTCAAACAAGCGATATTTCAGGATTCAAGGACGTTCCGTCCCTGCAGCCCTGCGCGTCCCGACACAGCTCCGAGAGCGCCACCCCACTGCGTGATTCCATCTCCTGCCAGCAGTATCCCTCGTACGCTGTGGTCCAATCTCATGAATCGTGTGTAGCCGGTGGGGGTTGTGGTTCTACGTTCGCAATCGGGTTAAGCGGGAAGCCATGAAACGTGGATTCCGCCTGTTGTTCCTGGATACCTCCCATGTCTTTGCCGCTGCCAAGCTCGTTACCTGTTTCTGTCAGATGGCTAGCAGGAACACCGCATGGCGTGGCGCCTGTCAGATAATGTTTGGTTTGATACGACGGATGGGTGTTGATGGACTTGGTGTTCATGCGTTGGCGGCGCCGAGAGTATGAAACAGGGTCGGCACCACGACACAACCACACAACCCACAACTTCTGCGTCGATCTCCTCACCTCCCAGCTTCACCAACACCAAGACATCCCTCGCAGCCCTAGAAGCTGAGGTAATTTCGACTCGTACTCTCGCGCGCGCAACGGCTGTGCGCCCCTGACAGCGTGCCGCCGCGCCAACGGGACCCCACTCCACCAAACCTCGCTAATGGAGCCTCGTTTCAAACGTGAAACGGCCCAAATTTCCTCCAATACTGCACGACTCTAGTTCCCGGGCTTGCATGACGACGTTGAGTGAGGTATAGGATTGTTAAGTACAGAGGGGCGGTGCCAGCGGTTACACAGTAGAGTAAGAATAGAGCTCGATATAGTCACGGTGCATAGAAAGGGTAAGGTAAACTTCCATGCACATATTAAAAGAACACAATAGCGCGCCATAAAGATCTCGCGTTATCAACGATTCTGCGATAACCTTCGCGGAGCTACGTTCTCTTTCCATTGTATCTTTTATTATCCCTCTCGTTGTTCCTTACAAGCTCGTTTTCCACCCAGTCAAAAGATAAACAAACCAAAAATAAGGTTCTACCTTCACTCCCGCCCAAAAAAGAACGGCCTCTCCGGGAATTGAACCTGTGTCTCTCGCATACCACACGGGGTGTGAAGGGGTGAAGCAACCTCCCCTTGCAGCACCATGGACAAGCCACGTTCCGTGTTAGAACGTACAGCGCGCGTTTTGACCACTAGACTAAGAAGCCTTAGTCATTTTAATAAAGAGACAACCATTTACCTAGCATATATCCAACCACCAACTGATATCCTATCACAAGTAAACAAAAAAACAAGAAGAGTGCAGGTGCACACTACTTTTAATGATTTCCCACCACCAAAGCATTTCGACCCTACACCGCCAACCTCCCCCCCCCCCCCCCCCCCCCCCCCCCCCCCCCCCCCACACCCCCCCCCCCCCCCCCCCCCCCCCCCCCCCCCCCCCCCCCCCCGAAAAGAAAAGAACAGCCTCTCTAGGAATTGAACCTAGGTCTCTCACATCTACCTAAACGGGGCCTGGCCCGCGCCACGCACGCAATGTGCCGCACATGGTTTTCTAAACTCCATGAGATGATAGACGTCTATGTAGTGAGCGTCTTGACCACTGGACGAAGAGGCCTGGGTGAGGGTGGTGGGTGGGTTGGTTTGGTTGGTTATGTATCCGGGAAAGCTTGGAGTTGTTGGAGATGACTGAGGTACGCAGACACACACATCGAATTCTCCACCACCAGCATGCGAGACCCTCTTCGCCCCCCCGCTCCCCCCACTCACCTCGCTTCCAAGTTCATCACGAATAGAAATTGGATTGAGAGTATATGGGTTCTTTGCAGGCGTCAGAGCGTAGCATGATGGTGTGCCCGGGTGTTATACAGCAGGTTACGGGGTACCAGAGGACAACCACAGAATACAGGCACAAGGTGCACGTAGACTTTCCAAGTTTGACTCGATCAAAAAATGCGTGCGAAAAAGAAAAAAAAACGAGTGCTCAAAACTCGCCCTACTCAATCCAAGCCTGCAGCCCACCCACCATCAAAACCGCAACCCCCAACACCCACTGCGCAACGCCAAACGCGCCCTGCACGTCGCCCTGGCGAACCGTCCACAGCACGGCAAATACCGCGCTACCCAACCCGAAGATACCCATAATGACGGCCCACACCTTCTGCGCGAGAAAGCCTTCGACGAGATGCACGCCCCAGCCCATACCAAAGTCCAAGCGCTGGCGCCGCTTCGGACTGCGCAGATACGTAATCAGTTCGGCGTCGTAGTCGGTCGGGTGTTTGAAGAGGTGGACAAGGTAGGTTGAACCGACGGGTGGGAGGAGATCGTTGGGCTCGAAAGTATACGGGTGTTGGGAGGGCGCCGCCGCAGAAGATTTCTCTGGCTCGCTAATGGATGCGGATGAGGCTGCGGATTTTGGTGGCATAGAGGGCGCGGCACGGATATCAGCGAAGCGGTTACGATGGACTTCGAATTGCACGAATTCGATTGTGGTTAGGCCACGGAGGCGCGCCCAGTTACACCATCGCCGGTTGAGTTGGTCATAATGCTCGCGGAGGGCGAGGGCGAGATCTTTGTCGCTCCTGATCCGGCTTTCGTTTACGTCGAGATGGACGATTTTGGGGGTAAGGCGGCCTTCGTTTGCGCAGGTCAAGAGCCATGATTCTGGAGCATACGTGGGCATGCGAACGCTAAATGGGCTATTGTTCCGGATGCTGGTGGGGCTGTATTTGGAGGTGTTGATGGTTCTGGTCCACGATGAGGCGCCGCCGTAGGTTGAGGATGGTGTTGCGAGGGTAGATGCTCGACTGGACGCATCGAAGATTGAGGAAATAGACGAGGCGGTGCTGCTTTGACTCGTCGGGCTTCGGGGTGTATGGGCTCGCGGGCGGTTGAGGTAGGCTTCGAGTAGACGGGCGGCGTTTGGTCGTTGCTCGACGAAATCGTCGTACAATGCTTCGCCACACGACTGCAGCACGTTAACATGGTGTAGTTATAAAGGGAGAGGGCACTCACGCAAGTCCAGCGAACACGTACATGGCCCTGTGGCACGGGAGGTTCGGTACCAAACGTATCTCGGAGCAACTTGAAGCCCTCATAGACCTTGTCCGACAGCGCACTGAGTGTGAGGCCCCAGTACATCAGTGCTGGATTTCTGACACCAAGAGGGGCTGACCGTATTTCTACTTCAGAAGGCAGGGGTATCTCGCCAACATTATCATCATCTACCGGCTCAACAATCACAGGCAGTGGTTGCTCCTCTGTCGCCTCTTCAGCAACATCGGTCTCCGAGAGAGTGGAGCCCAGCGCCTTTCGCAAAGCTTCGCGGAGCTCATCAGATTGGACAACCTCAGTCCACTCCGGGGAAGAACGGCCGTCAGCATCGTCCGCATCGAGGGATGATGAGGACGACGATGCTCGTTTTTGCGCCTTTAGCGGCTTCTTGCGTCGCGACACTGGCGATGCGTTCGCCGACTTGGCGTGAGGAGGAAGGTTGGTTTGCAACCGGAGCCTATTCTTTGAGAGCGAAGGTACTTGCAAATCATCCGCAGATGAGTGTCGCAAATGCCACGGTTTCGTCGAGCCAGTCTGCCGTATCGGATACTGCCCCATACTTGTCTCGGCCGATGCAAGATCGCACTCGGCAGATTTGCAAGAAGTCAAACGGACACGCTCTTGCAAGCCTGGTGAATCCAGGGCTACCTCTGTCGGTGGATTCTCCTTTGTGAGGTTTGTTGACCCAGAACGACCTTTGATCGATTTATGGGCATCACGTCGTCTGAGCTCCGAATTCGTTGCCCGACCCTTCACACGAGCACGGTTCTTTTTCTCTACTCTTCGGACCGGGCCTACGAGGGACAGGCCGCGGGTCGGTGTCTTTACTATGCTACAGACTGACGTCGATCTTGTGGGATACATCGACATGTCCCTAGAGGAAGATTCGAAGTCCGCCGGGTCTTCGTCCATGCGCCCACTTATTGAGCGGACATCCGGTATCAACGTTTCCGCATCACTCAGGCCATCTTCTGCGATTGAGTTCCTAGCTAAACTGTTTCTTGCTAGATGTCTCAAAGATGGCGCGCTAGTTAGGAAAGGCCTCGGAGTCGTAGTTGACTGCGGTCGTTGCAAACCTTGTTCGTTCGAAGTACCGATCTCAAACAGGTCTGGTCGTTCTAGAACATCGTCGCTGACTGTCTGAGCTGCCGTCGGGGGAGAGTATAGTTCGGCTGGAAGTGTCGTAGAATCGAGCTCAGGGGTGCCAGACGCCTCCTCCGTCAACGATTGTTGGCCCAAGTCGACTTCGGCCATTTCGTTCGACTCTGCAGCCGAGCTCTTCAAGAGTCGCACTACATAACCCTTTCCCTTCTTTTTGATTCTAGCTTTGATGTCGGCAAGGCGTTTCGATTGCGTCGATGCTGTGGAATCACTTCGCGAGAAGGAAACATCCCAATCCGGCACGACTTTTTTCAGGAAATCAGGAGGTACATGATCCAGATCGGCCCAGCCTTGCTTGTCTTTAAGCGGGCTAGTCGGTGGGCTGGTTTTCTGGGTTTGGTAGAGTGTTGGTATCTCCAGGTTAGGCTTCAGGCCCTCATTCAGGACCCTCGGAACATGGTTTGAAGAGGAAGAAGCCAGATTGAGAGCGACTCCAGGTACCTGTTGTTTCGAGCCAATGTTGACCACAAGCTGGAACTGGCCAGGGTTCCTCGTATCCTCCTGGAGATTTAGCGTGAAGGGTACCGACTGTGTCTTCTCATACTGCGGAAGTGGGGTTTCGCGACCCGGCTCAGTCGACTGAACGTCCTTGTCCATTTGCTGAGGCTGGTTGAAGCGCAATGGGACGGGAGATGCTATGGTGGAAGCCTGTCGCATGTCGGGTCAGCTGTTGGCCAATGACACGTGCCATACTCGGTAGACTTTTCAGCCTCGTGGAAACGCCTCCAAAAAGCCTGTAACTATCAACTGCAAGAGCCTCAAAAAGGCTTACCATGTTCGCATAAGGGATCCGCTGCGATGCAGGAACGATGGCTCGAGGAACGAAGGAGAAGGCGACCTCATCATGTTTTGACCGGTCCAGGCTGCAGTCAGCATATAGGTAGACAGGAGTTCATGCACTGCCACCACGATCAACGAGGCTGCTGTACCCGCATCGTTGATTGGCGAGCCCTCCCAACCAGGCGCAGCAAGCATGGCGATGATTGGAGTTGCGATTCTGTGAAACAGGCACGCGAATGATTGAAGAGCGCGCCTTTCCCGGAGTGCTCTTCAACCCTTTGCGCAGCCTCAGAGCGTGCAGTAGGTCGTTCCACCGTCGCCGACATGTTCACTTTACCCCGCTCAGCCTTCAGGGAAGCCAGATGCATACGGGACAAACTCTGCGACTAGATAGATGACGACGAGAAAGGACATAAAATGGCAGGTCGCTGCCGGTCTGAGATGTGCGGACCTACACAGTACAGACGGGATGAGACTGAGAGATGCACTGTGATGAAGGTTGAGCAATTTGCTCCTATTCGCTACACCTGCTGAGTAAGGAAGGCACCTTGGACCAATCTAAATCCATGTAGGAATGCGGCAGTAGCGTTCCATGGCTCGCTCCTTCCCGCTCGCCAATGCCATCATCCGTCACCTCTCAACGGCCTCGTCGAGTGTCCCAGCGATCGCCTCTTTATCATCAACATCTACCTACCCTGAGCTGCCTTGCTTTCTCAGCAAAACCTCGCCCGAGCAAACAAGATGAGCACAAGTCGTGGCTGTTGCTGTTGGGCGAATGCGCATGTCGTGGTTTTCTGTTTCCGCCAATCTAACGCGTCCCTCCAAGCCATTTTTCGCCATCGCAATAATCACCTCAACCCCGATCATATCTACCGTCTCGGCGTCCCGTCTTCGGACCTTGGCTTCTGGAGCCATCGCGCGAGATCATGTGTTCCAAGGTAGACAGGTACAGCAAACCAACCTCTTAGAGCTCTTCCTCCGCGCGCCTCGGCAAAATCACGAGCATAGCGTCATGGCACTATTTAGTATTAGCTAAGCCTAGCACCGATGGTCCTCGGGGCTGGTAAAACTACCGCCATTTTCCCCGCAACACCACGACCCCTGCACTCCACAATTTCTCCGGACAGGCGGCTTTGCATTTCCCCGCGTATGGGAACCGTGGGTTGGAAATGCAGCAAGGGTGGCCGCAAGGAAGATGCGAGAGAAACATGAC